ATACGCCCAGAGTCACGGAACGGATTAAGTTCGTATCCCGAGGTACCACTGTATTTATATTTCAAATTTGTCACTGCCCATCTCACTGTGGAGTGAGGGATATTGTTGATTATCCCTGCTGACAATCTTGAAAAGGCAGTTTTTCTTCAGATGGAGACTTTTAACCATGTTCAGGCAGATGGGAGTACAGCTCCTTGAAACCTTTGTGTTTCATATGCAACTATTTGCACGAGAATAGCAGATAGAATTTGTGGTGTGCTCTGGTCTCCACCATACATTTAACCCTCATGTGTCAAAGTAGGTTGAAATTTTGTTTTCATTAATGTTACAAAGGAGAGCACTGGCTAAAAAGATAATTGGGATATACATCCATAAGGAAACATCTGTTGCTCCCTGTTTTGATGCATAAGATCGCAGCCATGACAATGACTTTTCTTATATTTATATTTCTTAAAACTGTCCTGTTTTGATAATGACAGGGGAATTGTTAAAATAGAGATCTGTGTCAGTGAGAGAATGGGGCTTTGGGGCTAACATAAAATGTTGAAAGAGAGGGAGCTTTTGAAATGCAAAGGAGAGTATGTTTATTGCATGTGCTGCTATTTGAGGTATGTAAGCTATTTATTTAAATAATAAAACAATTCCTGAGTCTATCTCATAAAGGACTTCATGGCACTTGGAAGATGATTGAGGATTTAGAGGATCTTTCCTAAGTGGAAATGCTAAAGGTTTTGGCAGGTTCTAGTTACAAATAAATATAACTGAGGGAAATACGACAGCCATTTATAACATGTGGAATGTCATGGAGGAACAAAGATTATTGCCCATCTCTTATAACTCAAAAGTCCAAGGAAAAGTGGCATACTCAGTTGTAGGCTCAGGATTTAAAAAGAAAACACTGTTTTCCCCCCAGTAGAGAACTAATCTATGACCTTCATTGCACAAGAGGTGATGAAGTGTCTCTAGCTTATGCATCGAAAGGATTCCAAGAGGGAAAATCTATCAGCAGTTTTTTGCCCTGATATCGCAGTGGAATCGATACATTCAGGAGTACTGGATCTCTACATTCAAAATACTGAGAGGTAGAAACAGTGAATAGTCAGCGCCTCTCCTTATCCATCCATTAGCCACATGTGGCTGTCCATGGCAATAACTCTCTTCCCCATCCCTGGAGCGACAGCAGGCAGGCTCCACTTCTAGCAATAGGGTCAGCAGAATGGCCCCTTTGAAGACCTCCACTGATCACTGTTAGAATCCATGAATTTCATTTGCAAAGGTCCTTTTAATTTAAAAGAGGATGGTACTCTGGCCTGCCAGCAAAAGCTCCTGGTGTAGCACACAGAAGCATAAACTGAAGCCTCAGGACTGCATTTGATTCTCAAAAGCCTTTGGTGTGATTCTTGGAGGTCTCCAACCTTGACTTTTGGTGACTTCTTGGATGTGTGTCTGTAGTTTACTTGTTAACAATGCAGAGTGGGTTGGCTTTCTACAGAGAGGCTTTTTCGACCTCCCATTAGAGTCAGCAGCCATGGATTTCCTGGCAGTTGCCCATGCAAGCGTTAACCAATTGCAGTCCTGCTTAATTTTTTTTAGGTCAGCTAGGCCTTAGGTGCTGCCACCTACTAGGCCTCAAAGTTGTTAACTAAACTGAAATGTTTTGTGTGGTAGAACAGGAAATTATTAAATACATATGTGGAGAGTAGTAATAACTATATTTAATTTTATTTATATAGCTGTTGATTGATTGATTGATTATCCTGCCCTTTTTTTAAAATGTATTTGGTCAACTCAAGGCGGCAAATATACCTAATACTCCTGATATTTTCCTCAGAACAACAACGCTGTGAGGTGGGTTGGGCTGAGATAGAATGGACAGCACCTTTCCAGAGAGCTGCTTTTTGGTACATCCATTTTTTAAAGTATTATAATAATTAATTATGACACTTTAATTAATATTATTAATTAAATGTTAGTATCACATTAAATATGACATTAACATTACATGTTAATATTACATATTAACCTTAATATTTACTTGTTAACATTTAATATTTTAAAAAAAACACTAGAAGGTTTTTTTTTAAAAAAACCGAGCCAACAGATTGGACAAAACTGGTTTAGGAAAAGGAACCAACAGGACAGATCTAAGGCTGATGAGTAGAACCAACTTTCCATCTCATTAAAAAGATCTAGCAAAGGTTTAGGGATGTGAGAAATCTCTCGGAGTTAAATTGCAGATCTTACAGCGTTCATCTTCTGACTTTCCTTGAAAATCCTTTTGAGCAGGAGTTTCCCAGTTCTCTTGGTGCTTTATTTGTATCAGACTTGGGATAACAGCTCTGATACGTGTGTCTGATAGTTTATTAAAGGTAAAGTAATCGGAACTGGGAGCTCACTTTCACACGTATGCAGAAAGAGGACTAAAACAGCAAATGACTTAAGACAGGTTGGCACCTTGTATGTCTGCAATATTTTGTGGTGATTAGTGGTTATGGAGATTTTACTGGGCCTCGACTTGTTTTGTTTTTCATTTGATTTTAATGGAATGTTTTGTTTTTACTTTGTTTCTGCTTTGTTCACAATTTCTGACTGCTTTTTTGCGGCAATTGTTTTCTTATCTATATGTGCCTGTAGCCTTCGCTGTCAACTCTGCAAAGGGTAAAATCAAACAAAACTTTGTGTTGCATCAGGCATTCAATGTAGATTTTTAATGAAAAGGGTTGACATAAAATGTGCCTTCTTTTTTCAGACCTTGTATTTTCTTCCATGTCTGTTAGCACCTTTCTCTTGTAGCATCATAAACAAAAAGAACCAGTTCACTTGCAACAGATTTTAGGAAGTATATGTCATTTCTCTCTACACACCACATACACCCACTCACATACACACATAATGGAGGAAGAAAAAAATTCACAATAACATATATAAAGGCTGCAATTTTGTACCCCTATAACAATATCTGGATTGGCATTTTACTACTTCAGTATGGGAGAGCAACCTCTAACATGGACCTAGGGCAGGCTGTCTGTTGAGCAGTTGTGTTCCAGTTGTTATTTCCTGCATTGTAGGATTTGCTACTGGGGATGGCCATCTTCTTTTGGCTAAGGGTACAGTTGCAACTGAATTGTCACAGTTTTGCCTAGCTGAGCAAATTGCCTATATGTCCCATACCCATTGTTTTTCTCATCCTCACCTGCATCCATGCTGAAATTTAGATTGCAAATTTAGACTGTTCTTTTATAAAGTAAAACATGAATGGCTGCTGCCTCTTGGAACATCTATAGCTGGGCGTAACGGTGCTTGCCTTAGCATCCACATTGGGCCTGATCCAGCAAAAGTTAATTGCACCTAATGAGTTTAGATGCTTTTGAACTTCGTCATAATTAATCAACTAAGCTAGAATTTGGGCGCTGGCAGAAACAGAAACGACAGAGGAAACCTGACTCTGAAACTTCCTTCAGAACCTGTGCTGCATCTTTTGATGCTGCTGCTACGTTATGGGTACGGTTTTCATTGATATGTAAAAATAAAATGTTTCTAATTTCCCATCTGGCAGCTTTTGAATGATTCTTGCCAAACGTCCCTAAAGAACAGAAATTAACAAAGCTATATGTTTTGTGTGCTGGTTCAGCAGACAGAAGAATATCAAATAGATTTAACATTGTCGGGAAACATAAAATATTATTTTGTGTACTCATTTTAACTTTCTTAATATAGATGCCTCTTTGACATCTGGGCAAATGTATTTATTTCTTTAGACTGTTTGCTTTTTAATTACTATTTGAAATGTGAAGGGTATTTTCTACTGAATTATTAGCATTTTTGGAGACCATACTACAGAAAAGTAGACATTATGACCCAAGGAAGCAATAAGGATTAATTGGGTGCCTAATAGTGTTTGTGTTATTACTTATTGACACTAGTTAACTGTCTATAGTAGCAAACCTCCTTGTGTTCTGTTGTTTTCTGAGGCAAACTAAGATCTTCATATTCTTTTCTGAACTATCAGCCTTGGGAAGCTGGTGATAAACAGATATTCTATCATATTTGAGTTTTGAATTTTCATTTGTTCATCTAATACTAGCATTGATGTGCATTCATGCACTCCAGTGGCCACAGCAGTGTGGTTTTCTTATATTGTCCTGTCATGCACAGGGTTGTGCTGAATGTAATCCACATGTGGAAAGTTTTGAATAATAGGAAAACATACTTTGAACTGAATATCTGTGATACAGCAGTCATATGTATCAGTTCAAATCACAGGAATGGATATCCTATTTTGTCATTTTTTTTTTCTCTACAGATTGTATTCCGGAAGATCAGTGATGTAAAACGAGAAGAAGAAGAGAGGATGAAAAGGAAGAATGAAGCCCCTTTGGTCCTGCCACCTGACCATCCAGTCCGTCGGCTTTTCCAAAGATTTCGGCAGCAGAAGGAGGCCCGACTAGCTGCAGAAAGAGGAGGCAGAGATGACCTAGATGTTGAAAGGGGCAACATTTTAGGAGATCACTCTTCCCACACAGTTGTCAAAGCCAGCATTGTCACAGTAAGGGAAAGCCCTGCAACGCCAATTGCCTACCAGTCCGCTTCAACATCGGGTGTATCTGATCAGGCCAAACTACAAGCTCCAGTCTCAGACTATGTTGGTGGGAAAGCAGCAGGGGATTATCCAAAGCGTAAAGGCTGGGCAAAATTCAAAGATGCTTGTGCCAAGGGAGAGGACTGGAACAAAGTTTCCAAAGCCGAGTCCATGGAAACATTGCCAGAAAGAACAAAAGCAACGGGTGAAGCTACTTTGAAAAAGACAGACTCTTGTGACAGTGGCATCACAAAAAGTGACCTGCGCTTGGACAATGTGGGGGAAACACGAAGTCCTCAGGATCGAAGTCCCATCCTTGCTGAAGTCAAACACTCTTTCTACCCTATCCCTGAACAGACTCTCCAGGCAACTATGCTGGAAGTGAAACACGAGCTGAAGGAGGACATCAAAGCTTTAAACACAAAAATGACCAATATAGAAAAACAGCTTGCTGAGATACTAAGGATATTAGCCTCTCGAAGAAGCTCTCAGACCCCACAGGAGCTGTATGAAATATCGAGACCCCAATCTCCAGAATCAGAAAAGGATATGTTTGGAGCAAGCTGAGTGGTTCTTTAAACAGAAGTGATTTGAATATCCCTACAAACACTATCCAACACCCACTTAATGTGTTTAAGGGAACCGAACATTTAATCTTTTTTTGATGATCACTATTTGAGGGGTCAGCCTGTTAACCATGTCCCCTCTCTCTTAATGGTACAGTGACAAGAGTTGCAACCTCATGTCAAGATGGCAGCTGACTCTGAAGTCTTTTTGACAGCAAGGGTACAGTTTATAATGTTTTTCCTACTTCATTAGTGCATCCTTTTCCACTCAAAGTTATTTTTGACAAAAACATAACTAGAGAACTGAAGTTCAAGGGTTAGCTTCTGTTCATATACTTACCAAGTTTGTAGAACCTCTTCACATGGAATGTGTGTGAGCCAATTCTCCCTGCCCATGAGATAATATCTGCAGAAGGGCTCCACAAAAAAGCAAAGACTCAGTTTGTGAAATTTTTGATCCTTATTGAGCAGGAGGTTTAATGTGGCTCCCTCATGTCAGATGTTATTGTGTGTGTGGTGGAAAAGATTTCCTCCACTCCTCTTTAAAAAGATTTAGTCTTAGGTAATAGGACCAGAGAAATTCAACTATGTCCTTTGCAAGATTCAGGTTGCAAACATGTCTTTACATCATTTGATGTGTTGGTGGGTAGCTGAATAAGTTCTTGCCTGGTGAAATGAACTTATTTAGCCATTTTTTTCTTCATCAGAAATGTGAGGGATTCCTATTGTAGTAATCAAGAAAAGACCCAGAAAGAGGGTGACATTTATGGAATTTGTTATCAGAAAGTATAGTTTTTAATTTCGGGTATGATTCATAGCAGGCATTATCACTTATCACATAGTTGGCAATATCTCTTTACCAAAATAGAATACTAACAGGCAAGGAGCTCAGCTATCCAAAATATCAAAGCTTTTCAAACAAAGGCTTTCTACCTACAATTGTGTTAATGACAAGAAAAATGGCCTTCTCACCCACAGTAAATATTTATCACATTTTGTACTTACTACATTTAAAAAAAAAAACTATTCATTTTATCTTTGAGTTTCTTTTGAGCACTGTAAACACCAAAGGATGTTGAAATATTTATACATTAGAACCAATGATGCATTAACAAGCAAACCATTTCAATGTATTTTCTCATTGTAATGGTCTCCAGTACCTCATGAAGAAGTATTGTGGTATTTATTCTAAAAGCTCTGATTATTCTGTGATCTTTTCTTAAGATAATCTGACTAGGGCACCAGTGGAATGTAATGGAAAAGATGTGCGAGTGTTTTAATACTGCTGCACCAAGGAGAAACAGAATCTGCTTGACACAGGCAGTATGATTCAACAAGATTTCTCTTGGATTTCAGAATTATTTTTATAATCAGACTGTGGTGGGTTCAACAATACTAAACCATAATGTGGTTCGTTTGTTTCATAGGCTTTAGCTGGGATACCCACCCATTATGGTTTAGTGTTTTGAGCAAAATAATCCACAATGATTTATTCAACAGATCATGATTTAAAATTCCTGGCTTAGTATTGGACATAAGGAAAAATCATGGATTGGTGGTTGTTGGGATGAATAACTGACCTGTGTCATCTGTAGAATATCATTAGATAATTTCAAAGCACATATAGGAGCCAACTTATATATTGGTTTTTTAAGAGCAGGGATGCTGCTCAGCTGAAGCAAACCACGGTACTGAACAGTGTATCTTGAGATATTTCATCCTGCAGCAGTTGCATGAAGATGGATAATATGGCTATAGCTAATTAAGACCCATAGCTTCAATTTCAGTGCCAGCTGGGTATATTTAAACCAGTGACACTTTTGTTTTCTTTTCTATACACTTGTTTTGGAATGGTCTATGGGCTGTTGGACATAACTTCCTTAGTTTCCTGGATGAGATACATAACACTGTACATGCCTTTTCATTCTATTTTTATGTGTTTGCTTCTGAAGCCAGGGGGTTCAGTCAAGAAATAGTTCTCTCCAAATTAAACTGGGAATTTGTGTCTAAAATTTCACATCCAGCACCCCTCATATAATTATGTAAGAACAATTAAATTTAGTCACACTGTTGTATCATTAGTCAGGAACAAGGTTCCCATAAAAACACACTTGATTGAATGCAGATATAATATTGGCTCCTGCGTACCATGGTTCGAAAACTAGGAGCCAACTTTAAGATTCCCCCCTCCTCTCCCCTCCCCTCCCCTCCCCTTTCACAGTGCAACACTCCTCTTCCTTGCTCTGTCTGCCTAAATCAGAGTTTAGCACATATCTGCTCTGACAGTAATCATGGGTTAGGCTAAATACATACCCAGTGTAGCCTAGTTGACATCAGTGCATTTGTAATCTTAAACCATGGTTAAGGCAAACATGGGAGTGGGAGGAAGACTGAGGGGCAGAGTGCATGAGTGCTCAGGAATGTATTTTGATTTCCAACTGTGGCTTGTAGGATTTGTGCTGGGCTTTGCATATGGAAGAGAGGTGCAGAATGTTTTCTGGAGAAGGGACAAAAAACAAGTCTGATTTATTCTACGTTTAAATTTCATTAACATGAAAAATGGTAATATACTGCTACTTTTGGAGGTCCCTTAGAGCTGCACTCAAGATTTTCAGAGCTCTCATGTTATCACAGCTCTCATCTCTGTTGTGGAAAGGAACACTTCTGTATGCGCAGGCACATGAAGTTGATGATGATGGGGAAAAAAGTCGATCCCAATTGACCTGTGGTGTAATGCTTTTCTCATAGATGTTGTCACAAAGAGTTGATTATTCATTACCATCTGACAATACAGATTTCCCTATACTGTATATTGACCAGGTCAAATAACAATGCCTTGTACTATGCACTCCCCACTCCCCACTGCAAACCATTCTAATTTCACCCTTACCTCCCCATGCTACGTGAGTAGCTGCTTCTGAAGAATCTAAAGGGGCTCTTTGAATCCCAGCCAAGATCTTTGTAGAAGGGTTTAATTGCTGTTCAACTGTAAGGATGCAGAAAGAGCTTTTGTTCTCATCTTCATAACTGTTAGAGACAAAAATAGAAAGTGATTCCAATAATATACAGCACATAATGCTCAGCAGTTAGTAACTCTGTTGCAGTCCTGGGAAGTAACTGTGGAGGATGTTAGTTCCTTAAGATTAATCTCTTCTATATAGAAGCAATCATGACGTTTTGTGCAAAAACTAGTGCCATTTTGCTGAATTTATCTTGCATGACATTTATAGCTTGCACTGACAAGTTCTAGAACTGCAGTGTTTAGTTGGTTAATCAATTAGAGAAAAAAAAAACAAATTAAAGGCCTTTTAGCGTGTTTTAAAAGGCATTTCCACTTAATAGGGCAGATATGTTTAAAAAAAAAAAGAAGCCTGTATCCAATGGTGTATGAATGCAGTTCCTCCCATGGATTGGAGCATATCTGCTACCTTCTTCCTAGCCAGGCTTCCTGTGTTTTCAGAGCATCAGAATATCCTTCGGAAAAGTGTGGGGTCCAGCTGAAAGAAGGAGTAAACATTTCTCCAGTTCACACAGAAGTTTATTTGGGTCGTGCAACAAGAGCTTTGGATCCCTGCTAATGCAGTTAGTTTGAATGTCTGTATTTACAAAAACAATAGATGAGAGCAGCCATCTTAGGAGACAAATTGCTCCTTCTCTCCAACCAGGTAAAGATGCCATATTTCTAGTAGCCTTAATGTGGACATATAGGAAACAACCAAAAATAAAGAAAACAGACTTTGGGGTTCTTGGTATTCTCTGAGCTTGGATGTTTTTCTGCAGGCCTTGCACTAATGATGTTACCTAGCCTGGTAATGAAACCACTGCAGGACCACAACCAAGCTCAGAGAACACCAAGAAACCATTCAACCCTAAATTACATATATTCTGCATTATTGAAAATAGGCTTTCTTCTCTTCAAATTATCATTTATCCATATGCAAAATTTGTTGTTGTTTAGTCGTTAAGTCGTGTCCGACTCTTCGTGACCCCATGAACCATA